ACAGAGGCCCTGAGAACACACACACACACAACCTCTCGTCAATATGCGCTTTTCGCATTGCATAGCTGCAAAAAACGCATAAAAAATGCAGCTTAATAGAATGAACCATTTTAGTCTCAGCTGAACTTCTTTGTTTGTAATATAGGGTTTCAATCTTTAATATTTTCAACATATTTCGCACTTGGTTAATATTTACTCCTTAAATAGCATTTATGTTTCTTTCTTAAACCTAATAAGTGGACTTAGCATTAATTTTGTGTTGGAAAGCTAAGGCTATTGTAGGCAGTGATGTCTCTGGACAACAGATTGCTGCCGAATAGTATGGCATACATGCGTGATTGCCTTCCATCTTGCATTGGTACCACTGAGCTGGCAGTCTCGGCGATGTGTGATTACTTCCTCTTCTGGCATTAACATCACCACAGTCACAGCCCTCAGTCCTTTCGCATTTAGACTATTTGGAAGGCTTTTAAATAGTCATTCTTCAAATTGTTTAGATGCGGCTCGAGTGTATGAATACATCACGCAACATTTTATAGCAACATTAATGAATCCATGCATATATCTCGTCTCCACTATCAAGTAACTTTTTTTTTGTTTACGTAAAAAAATTACGCTTGCATTCCTGGTTTAAAGTCAAAATCTTTTTCTCATTCACCATCTGGATGAGGTGAAGGCATACCAAAATAAGTAGCGTTTGCAAAAGCAACCACTATCGCGGAAAAAGCGCGAAAAGTCGGCCAAGAAGACACCACAAAACAAGAAAAAGGAGGTGTATCCTGCCTTGAAAGACAGGTGCACAGTAGATGTGTTGCCAGGCTGAACTCAGAGCACAAAGACCGGTAGTGTAGTGGTAAGACATTGCATCTGGACGTGAAGGGGTGTGGTTCGGTTCCCTACCGGTCCAGAACAATTTTTGAGAAAGGGCTCCATTCACGGCAACCAAACGATAGTAACACTCACAATGCATGTGCTGTTCGAAAGGTGCTTATAAGCAAACTGATGACA